AATATTAAATTATAAGAATTAATTATGACTTACTCTCTATTGTGTAATCAATATAACATACAGTTCAAGTATCATTGATTGGTAAAAAAAGACAAATTAAAAGATACGAACTTAATCAATAATACACATTATGACTTACTTTCTATAGTGTGATGAAAACAAGAGTTCAATTATTATTGAAAAAGGAGATTAAACAATAAAAATGCACAGTAAGACTTACAAACTATTGTGTATTTAAAATGAAATAACAGTTAAAAAAAGATAATTTGAAATAAATTTAGTATGATGACTAACTTTCTATTGTGTATTAATCATATTGTTAATTGCCACGGGATCAGAGAGGAAGGTAAATAAAAGATAAAAATTAACATATTTTGACATATTGACTCACTCTCTATTTTGCAGCAAACATAATTATTGTTTGTTGGATCCAAATGAAAGATAAATTAAGTAAAACACATTTTGAAATTTTAACTTACTGCCTATTATAATCAGATCATTGAGAAAGACAATTAGACTAAATGTGAATAATAAAACACATTTGACTTACAATCTGACAATTACAGTGGATGAAGCAGAAAGAAAATAAACAGGTAAGTTTCACATATTTGACGGACTTACAAACTATGAGTAATGGTTGTTGATCAAATCATAAGGAAAGGTAAATATTTTGCATGATACACAATATGACTTACTCTCTATTGTGTAATGAAAATACATGTAACAGTTCAGTTTTGGAAAGAAAAGATATACAGATGATTATAAAAATAAAACTCATGACATTTTGACTTACTCGCTATTTTAAAAAATTGATTGGAGAGAAAGAATTAAAATTTTAAAATAATACGCATTTTGGACTTACTGCCTATATTGTGTAATGAAGAATTAAAGGTATTAAAAAATAAAGAATTTTGACTTACTTTCTATTTTTCAATTTTTAATTAGATCAAAAGAAAGACAGGTTAAAAATTAACAGTACACATTATGACTCACTTTCTATAGTAGGATAAAAGGAATCATTATTGATCAGAGGGAAAGAAATTTTAAAATTTAATGTAAGTA